GACAACCCCCACCGCTCTCAAAGTAGACGGAATCGCGACCTGGGTCCATCACACCCGCGTTTGGCCAGCGGACCCCTCCTCGATCCGGAAGGACTTCGTCACGCGATGGGCCGTCAATCGGGACCAACACAACCCACTCAAGCTCAAGCTACAGCGCATTCGACCCACCTAATATTGTTAACTCTGCTTGTCATTGCTCATGCTGCTGGGAGTCCCCACGCCCCCCAAAACATCACCTGGCAGATCATAGACACCAGCTCGAGGACAATACTTAATCAGACCTCCCAGAGCCACCCCAGGGATACTTGGTTCCCAGAACTTTGCGTAAACCTCCAAACTCTGTTCCCCTTGTCACCATAAACTCAGCCGGTCCCAAGATTGGGTCCATAAGCTACATGACAAGGGGGGAATGAAATGGCGGGCCTACGCCAGCCGACTCCATCTTGTTCTGTGTCCTTCACCTTGACCATGCCTCCTCCCCTTGAGAAACCTCCTGCTCACCTGTTCAAACTTCCCGATCAAAACATGCCTGGCGACCTGGGTAACAGGACTCCGACCCTTCCCCAGCCAAAAGGCTGAGACCACAGCCATTACCTCACCAACTGCCCCTAGGCCCCAATAAAACCTTTGTGCGTTTGAAACTGGCTCTCTCTTTCCCGGTATCTCACCGCTGCGTGGGTGCAGGTAGGGGATTGAGCTCAGCTAGCTCGAATAAAGGCTCTTTTGCTTTTGAATGGGACTCGGCTCCCTGGTGGTCTTTGGGAATCACGAATTCTGGGCATAACAATCTCTAACAGTTAACAATTTGTTTTCTTTCCTTTCCTTTGTCCTTGGGCAGCCAGAAGAGCCTGAGGAATATCACACATATCCCACCTGTGGGATGAGGTGCTAGTTTGTATTTTTCCCTCAGCTTGCCTTATGCTACCTCATCAGTACTACTTACACTAAAAGGTTTTTCACTGTTTATCTTAAAGTCAGTTTTAACTGGGGTCTTGAATTTTATTTGCTAAATCTATCAACCCTAAGAATGACATTTCAGTCCAACACATTCTTTCTACATTCTTTTCCATGCATTGTTTTAGAGTTATAAATGTGACCTGTATACAAAGAAACAGCCATGGGATTCAGAGTTTTTAAAGAACACTACCCTTAATATGCTTCTGTCACAAGGTCCTTTTGAGACACTGTTTTTACCTCACTGGTTTAATGTGCCATCTTTTTATGATGTGGGTGCAAAAATTAAGTTAAGGGATGTGTTATTATAAGTGATGTTATTCTCTGTCTACATCTTGTATGTTTGAATTTGAGTTACTCTTTCAGATGCAGCTAGAAGTCAGGAAGTACCTTCTTCCTGACAAGCATTGATGTTCTGGAAACTTTTACAGTCTTTTTTTCTTTTCCATCACTAGACAGTGAATTATAATGTTATTTATTTTTTAAAAGTCTGTCTTTTGCAAAATCTAAGAATGTTGACAACCTGGAAGAAAATTGATCCATTTTTCTACATAATTGTATTTAACAATTTCTATTAAATTAATGTGGAAATGTTGGGGTTTGGAGCCGATGGCCAAGAATTCTTGAGATGTCTTTGGTCAAAAAGGTGGTTTTGTTATGGGGCACCTGGGTGGCTCATTTGGTTAAGCATCTGACTTTGGCTCAGGTCATAATCTTGCAGTTTGTGGGTTCAAGACCTATGGTCTCTGTGCTGACAGCTAAAAGCCTGGAGCCTGCCTCGGATTCTGTGTCTCCCTCTCTCTCTGCCCCTTCCCTGCTCATGCTCTCTCTCTCTTTCTCTCTCAAAAATAAACAGTAAAAAAAAAAGTGGCTTTGTTAAAGCACGGGTACAGGACCTGTGGGCAGTAAGAGCAGCACTGGGGCTGTGAAGAATGACAGAATCCATACCTTCAAGTTGGGAGAGGGTTGGGGATAGCATAAGTAAGGAATTTTTGAAACAAGGTGTCCAGGAATTTGAGGGAGCTAGTTATTGTTAGGGTAAGGTAATATAATTACTGTCTAGTAAAACTTTAGTCATGATGATGAAGAAACAAAAGACAAGCTGAAACCCTGCAAACCTCCCCCACCCCTAGGGTGGGTTATGTGTGACATTCTTAGAGCACTCCTGGCTGCCAAGAACAAAGGAAAGGGAAAAACCAATGGTCAACTGATAGAGATCACAGTCATGCAGGACATGAACCTCCATCAGCTTACAAATATCTTCTTAAATTACAAGAAAAAGGCAATCTTACCAATAACCTAATCTCCAGAAACTTATAGACTCAGTTTCCTGGAGCCCCAACATCACCCTCCCCTCCATAGTGATGTGAGAAACAAAGACAAGAAGGAAATGGTAGGTAAAGATAAATTTCCTTATAACCTGCAGCCCATTGACAAATACTTGAGGCAGGCAGAGTGTAACATTTCTCCAGAAACTCCCTACTGTCTTAATGTTAATGCCTTACTAGAGGAAAACAAACAAACAAACAAAACAAGCAAACAAAACATTCTTAGTTTGACAATAGCTGGGCTTCCATTATCTTATGAGTCCTCTTTAGCATATGATAGTCCTTTTGGGAATTTCCCCTTGGTTCCTGAGTATATAATCAGTCACTCCTCACGACCCCAGTGCAGCTCTTTCTCCCCACAGGTTCTGTTCCAGTGCTTTAATAAAATCACCTTTTGCACCAAAGACATCTCAAGAATTCTTTCTTGGCCATGAGCTCCAGACCCTACCACCACTCCAAAATCGCATCAATGACACCCTTCAGATGTATATCAGTGGGCCATATATATATGCTTGGAGGATGGTTGCTAACATATATTTGGGGGGTAGAGATAAAGGAAGTTTCCAAAGGGATTTTTATATAAGAAGACTTAAAGGATCCTGAAGTCAGGGATAATGTTAAGCTAAGATTGCCTTTTGCTCTTAACAAAGTATTAACATTGAGCCAGTTGAGTTTCCAGAGGAATGTTACTCTGTTTGTTTGAAGGACTTGTCAATGGGCTGTAAGTTGTAAGGAAATTTAATTTTTTCATTTGCCTTTGTTTCCCACATCAAAATGACATTTTAGAATATGGCAAAAGTCAAAAATAAAATGTATGCATTGCTAATCCTTAAATTCTGAGCCCATTTTAATAAGAAATACCTAAGAGACACTTTAAACAAACCCAATTAATATAGAGGGTTTAAATAACACATACACACTGGATATGTTTCTGTAGAACACAGTTGTCCTGTTATTAATATTGTGCTATTTTTTTTAAGTAGTCTCTACACCCAAGGTGGGGCTGGAACTTACAACACTGAGATCAAGAGTTGTATGCTCTACCCACTGAGCCAGCAGGAGCCCCTATATTGTGCTATTTGTTAAAATTAGAAATGTGGCCATATGTACAAAGTACATTTTAAAAGAGTCAATCTGTTGCCTCTGCATCATTCAATTTCAAAAAAGTCCCTATATCCAATTAGCTTGGAAACCTTACTTTCAGGGTCTAAACACTGCTGTGGTATTTAGGTGGAGATAATTTCTGTACCAGCAACAAGGCACAGGCAGCAACTTGTATCCCCTGACAGATGAGGTGCTTGTTCCTTCCCCTCCTCCCTGTCCCTCACCGCACCCCCTTCCCCAGCACCCTAACCTCAGGTAGCAGACACCGCGGGCAGGGAAGTTGCTTGGCCCAGAGTGAAGAGACGCGGGAGGAGAGAGGGCCAAGTGTCCGGTACCCACACGCTGAGCCCCCAGTTACTTTCGGCATCGCTGGCCAGAAGAGGTGAATGGGTGACTTGCTGGGTCTAGGAGGAACCCCTCGGCCTGCTTCACCAGGCCGGGGTATCTGCGAGCTGAGGCCCCAGCCCACAGCCCCGCAGGTAAACATGGGCTGGGGGCCGGCGAGGACTGTGCAAGCTCAGGCTTGGCGGAGGGCGGGGCGCCCTGGCAACACAAAAGGGCTGGGAGAGAGGCTGACTGCTAGGTGGGAGGCGGCGGCGAGGATTCGCCTCTGCGGAGCCGGGAGGCGCTAGGAGTACAGGCCTCACCCCATCTGCACTTCCTTCTGTAGCACAGACCGAACGCCCGCGGGGAATTGACTGCCTTGGCGACCTTGCGCTGCACCTGGGCACTCACGGAACATGGCGCTCTGTCGCCTCTTGGCCCTGCAGGCTGGATGCCCTCTCTTCCAAGGCAGTGAGCTTACAGACCACGGCCAGGCAGGTTCGGGCGCTAGGAGGTGTAGAGACCCTTGCTTGGTGGGTGTGCAGGCCGGGAGCTGGGCTAGATGAGGAGGAGCTGCCTGGTGACAAATTCTCTCCCTTGGGTCTCATTGTCCCACCCCCACCCTCTCTGGTGAGCTAAGCGCCCAGGGCTCTGGGGAACCACAACCCTCTCCCGTCCTCAGTGTGGGTGGTGTGTACTGGTCCCCTCTCTTCACAATGCACATCCAGCAACCACCAGAAACCCCCTGCCTTGGTCCTGGACTGGAGGACTGGAACTGTTATATTCTTATAGGCCCTAAGACATGGAGAGGGGGACCTGGATATGGTGCCTAATTTTGCTACCAAATACTAGAATATCTTTGGTTCGGCTGTTTAATTTAGCTTCATAATTTAGCAAGGAGGATTTTTAATGTCTGCCTCACCAGGTTGAAATAAAATGGTGTCCTCCACTGCCCCCTGCCCCCCAACTTTAGAAATACTTTCCACAGATGCCTGGCTTGCTTAGTTCCTAGAACAGGTGAGTCTTGATCTTGGGGTAGTAAGTTCAAGCCCCACATTAGGTTTAGAGTTTCCTTAAAAACACACAGTTCCACACAGTCGAAGAGAAGAAAAAAGAGAGATCATATCCTAGGCCATAGAAGGAATTTGCCCAGTCAGTAGGACCAGCTAGGTTTCTAGAATCCCATCTGGTACTTTTTACCTGTATATCTGACATGTTCACAGTCATCTTTTCCATCTGTACTCACTTGTATGTATTTACATTTAACTTCATATGACAACCAGATCCAGTTTGTATATAAATTAACTTCTGACACAATGTAAACTTCAATTTTGGAGGAGAGGTCACTTGCTGATTTTTCTAGACTTTCTCATTAGTGTATCCCTGGTACCCAGCATAGTGTGGACACACACAGATCTTTACCTCATGAGAATAATTCATGCTATCCAAAAAACACATTTTAAAATGAATCCAATTAAGATGGAACCAAATTCAGTGAAAATGTTTTGACTGGAATATCCTTTTGAAAAATAGAACCACAGATTATGAAAGTAAATGAATCTTATCTTAGATTTTATATTAATATTATAATGAAAATTCCATGCTAGGTTTTTTTGCATTTTAAAATTTTATTTATTTATTTATTTATTTATTTATTTAAATTAGTGTCAAGTTAGCTAACATACAGTGTATACAGTGTGCTCTTGGCTTAGAGAGCAGATTCCCATGATTCCAACCTTACGTACTACAATACCCAGTGCTCATAGGAACAAGTGCCCTCCTCAATGCCCATCACCCATTTTCCCTTCTCCCCCTCCCCCATCAACCCTCAGTTTGTTCTCTGTTTTTGAGAGTCTCTTATGGTTTGCCTCCCTCTCTGTTTGAAACTACTTTTTCCCCTTCCCTACCCATGGTCTTCTATTAAGTTTCTTAAATTACACATATGAGTGAAAACATATGACATCTGTCTTTGTCTGACTGACTTATTTCACTTAGCATAATACCCTCCAGTTTCAACCACAGTCTTGCAAATGACAAGATTTCATCCTTTCTCAATGCCAAGTAGTATTCCATCCTATATATAAAGCACATCTTCTTTGTCCATTCATCAGTTGATGGATATTTAGACTCTTTCCATAATTTGGCTACTATTGAAAGCGCTGTTATAAACATTGGGGTACATGTGTCCCTGTGAATCAGCACTCCTGTGTACTTTTGATAAATTCCTACTAGTGCTATTTGCAGCTAATCAGGTAATTCTATTTTTAAGTTTTTGAGGAACCTCCACTCTGTTTTCCAGAGTGGCTACACCAGTTTGCATTCCCAGCAACAGTGCATGAGGGTTTCCATTTCTCCACATCCTCACCAACATCTGTTGCTTCCTGAGTTGTTAATTTCAGCACTCTTACAAGTGTGAGGTGATATCTCAGTGTGGTTTTGATTTGTTTTTGCCTGATGAAGAGTGATGTTGAGCATCTTTTCATGAGCATCTTTGGCCAATTGGATGTCTTCTTTGGAAAAGTATTCATGTTTTCTGCCCATATTTTCACTAGCTTATTTGTTTTTCAGGTGCTGAGTTTGGTAAGTTCTTTATAGATTTTGGATATAACCCTTTATCAGATGTCATTTGCAGATATCTTTTCCCATTCTGTTGGTTGCCTTTTAGTTCTGTTGGTTGTTTTCTTTGCAGTGAAGAAGCTTTTTATCTTGATGAGGTCCCAATAGTTCATTTTTGCTTTTAATTCCCTTGCCCTTGGGGGTGTGTTGAGCAAGACATTGCTGCAGCTGAGGTCAAAGAGGCTTTTTCCTGCTTTCTTCTCTAGGGTTTTGATGGTTTCCTGTCTCACATTTAGGCCTTTCATCCATTTTGAATTTATTTTTGTGTATAGGGTAAGAAAGTGGTCTAGTTTCATTCTTCTGCATGTTACTGTTGACTTCTCCCAGTATGATTTGCTAAGGAGACTGCCTTTTTTCCAATGGATACTTTTTCCTGCTTTGTCAAAGATTAGTTGGCCATACGTTTGTGGGTCGTGTTCTGGGTTCTCTGTTCTATTCCACTGGTGTATGTGTCTATTTTTGTGCCAATACCATAGTGTCTTGATGATTAAAAATTTGCAGTAGCAGCTAAAGTCCAGGATTGTGATGCCTCCCGCTTATATTTCCTTTTTCAACATTACTTTGGTTATTTGGGGTATTTTGTGGTTCCATACAAATTTTAAGATTGTTCTAGCTCTGAGACAAATTTTAATTGGGATTGCATTGAATGTGTAGATTGTTTTGGGTGGTATTGGCCTTTTAACAATATGTATTCTTCCAATTGATGAGCATAAAATGTTTTGCCATTTCTTTGTGTCTTCTTCAATTTTTTTTATGTTTTCTATAGACTTCAGCATACAGATGTTTTACATCTTTGGTTAGGCTTATTCCTAGGTAATTTATGGTTCCTGGTGCAGTTGTATATGGGATCGATTTCTTGATTTCTCATTCTGTTGCTTCATTATTGGTGTGTAGAAATGTAACCAATTTCTGTACATTGATTTTTGTATCCTGCGTCTTTGCTGAATTCATGTATGAATTCTAGCAGGTTTTGCTGAAGCATTTCAGGTTTCCCATGTAGAGTAATTGTGTCATCTGTGAAAAGAGAAAGTTTGACTTCTTCTTTGCCAATTTGGATGCATTTCATTTGATTTTGTTGTCTGATTGCTGATGCTAAAGACTTCCAACACTATGTTAAACAACAGTGGTGAAAGTGGACATGCTGCTGTGTTCCTGATCTCAGGGGGAAAACTGTTTTCCCCATTGAGGATGTTATTTGCTGTGGGCTTTTCATATATGGCTTTTATGATGTTTAGGTGTGTTCCTTCTATCCCTTTTTTGAGGGTTTTTTATTAAGAATTGATGCTGTATTTTGTCAAATGCTTTTTCTGCATCCATTGACAGGATTATATGGTTCTTATCCTTTCTTTTATTAATGTGATATATCACATTGATTGATTTGTGAATATTGAACCAGCCCTGCAGCCCAGGATGAATCCCACTTTATCATAGTGAATAATTCTTTATATATGCTGTTGAATTCGATTTGCTAGTATCTTGTTGAGAATTTTTGCATCCATATTCATCAGGGATATTGGCCTGTAATTTTCCTTTATAGTGGATTCTCTGTCTGGTTTGGGAATCATGGTAATGCTGGCTTCATAGAATGAGTCCAGAAGTTTTCCTTCTGTTTCTATTTTTTGAAACAGCTTGAGAAAGATAGGTATTAACTCTGCTTTAAATGTCCTTTAGAAGTCCCCAGGAAAACCATCTGGCCCAGTATTCTTATTTGTTGGGAGAGTTTTGATAACTGATTCAATTCCTTTGCTGGTTACAATTCTGTTCAAATTTTCTATTTCTTCCCATTTGAATTTTGGTACTGTGAGGGTGTCTAAGAATTTCTCCATGTCTTGTAGATTGTCCAGGTTGTTGACATATAATTTTTCATAGTATTCTCTAATAATCGTATTTCTGTGGTGTTGGTTGTGATCTCTCCTTTTTCATTCATGATTTTGTCTACTTGGTTTCTCTCTTCTATTTCAGAAGTCTGGCTCAGGGATTATCAATTTTGTTTATTTTTTCAAAAAACAAGCTCTTACCTTCATTGATCTAGTCTACCATTTTTTTATTCTATATTATTTGTTTCTGCTCTAATCTTTATTATGTCTCTTTTTCCTCTAGCTTTGGGGTTTCTTTGCTATTTTGCTTCTAGTTCCTTTAGATGTGCATTTAGGTTTTGTATTTGGGAGTTTTCTTGTTTCTTGAGATAAGCCTGGATTGCAGTGTATTTTCCTTTTATGACTGCCTGTGCTGCATCCCAAAGGGTTTGGACTGTCATATTTTCACTTTCATTTGCTTCCATATATGTTTTAATATCTTCTTCAATTGTCTGATGGACCCATTCATTCTTTAGTAGGATGTTCTTTAACCTCCATACATTTGGAGGCTTTCCAAATTTTTTTTGAATGGTGGATTTCAAGATTCATAGCATTGTGATCTGAAAATGTGCATGGTATGATCTCAATCCTTTTATATTTATTGAGGGCTCTTTGTGACCAAGTATGTGATCTGTCTTGGAGAATGTTCCATGTGCACTTGAGAATGTGTATTCTGCTGCTTTAGGATGAAAAGTTCTGTTTATATGTGTCAAGTCCATCTGGTCCAGTGTATCATTCAAGGCATTGTTTCTTTACTGATTTTCTGCCTAGATGATCTGCCCTTTGCTGTAAGGAGAGTATTAAAGTCCCCTGCAATTACTGTATTATTATCAATAAGATTGCTTATGTTTGTGGTTAATTTATTTATATGGGTGTCCAAGATGGGGGCATACACATTTCAATTGTTAACTTTCTTGATGGATAGATCCTGTAATTATGATATATTGCCCTTCTTCATGTCTTGTTACAGACTTTTGTTTAAAATCTCATTTGTCTGATATAAGAATGGCTACTCCAGCTTTCTTTTGACATCCAGTGGCATGATAGATGTTTCTTCCTCCCCTCACTTTCAATCTGCAGGTGTCCTCAGGTCTAAAATGAGTTTCTGGTAGACAGCATATAGATGGATCTTGTTTTTTTATTTTTTTTAACATTTATTTATTTTTGAGACAGAGAGAGACAGAACATGAACGGGGGAGGGTCATGGAGAGTGGGAGACACAGAATCTGAAACAGGAACCACGCTGTCAGCACAGAGCCCAACGCGGGGCTTGAACTCATGGACCGTGAGATCATGACCTGAGCCAAATTTGGATGCTTAACTCACTGAGCCACCCAGGTGCTGCACAGATAGATCTTGTTTTTTCATCCATTCTGGTACACTATGTCTTTTGACTGTATCATTTAGTCCATTTGCATTGAGAGTTATTAAAATATAAGGATTTAGTGTTTTTGCATTATCTGTAGATTTCATGCTTGTGGTTATGTCTCTGGTCCTTTGTAGTCTTTGAAGCATTCCTCTGAAGGAATTCAGATTCCTTTGAAGCATTCCTCACAGAGTCCTCCTTAAGATCTATTGTAGGGCTGGTTTAGTGGTTATGAACTCCTTTAGTTTTTGTTTGGGAAAGCCATTTTTCTCTCCTTGTATTCTGAATGACAGCCTTTCTGGGTAAAGGGTGTCCAGCATATCCAAAATATGCATATTGGCTGCATATTTTTCCTATTCAGCACATTGGAGGAGTCCTTGCCAGGAATGAAGGAACCAAGTCCTTGCTGCAGATTACTCATCAAGAGTCCTCAGAACCGCATAACTACAGCTCAATCACTGCTGCCTCCCTCAACTGATGGGAAACGTGGCAGGGATAGGCCAAACCAGAAATCCCTGGATCCTTAAGAAAAAAGTCAGGCTTCCTGCTGACAGGTCCCCTTTGGCTTAATCCCACAGGCATTTCTTACTCTAGATATGACCTGGTTGATAGGAGGCTGCGTTGGGTACTTCAGTCTCAACTTTCTCCAAATCTCATGTGTGGTGAAGAACTCTGGGATTAGTGTCCATGCAAACCCTCTTTCATCAGAAAAGTTCAGGAGTGGCAATGGAGACACACACTGCCAGACAGTGTTCCAGAGGAACATCCTCTTGTTTCAGCTTGGGGGGTTTCATGGTGTGCCTGTGATGGTGATAGAGATTTTGCATTGGGCCATTCTCAATTTAGTTTCAGAATGATATGGCCCTCCCCATACCCAGGTTGTGTGAAGGTGCCCAGGGAGAATGGTCTTGGGTAGGATAAGCCTGAAGTTGGGGGTGGATCCTGCCTCTTGTGTGGGTCAAAGGGGAGGGAAAGTCAGGATCTCTTTCCTCCGTTTCCCCGTGCCCATTTGAATGCGCATCTTTGACTCACCCTGGAGTCATTCCTCTCCAATTGCTGCTTTCCTAACTTGTTCTCAGTTCACACATGGAGACCCTGTGTCTGTTCCTTACAGCAACCAAGATACCTGACTTGGGGGTGACTTGCCAAGCTTTTCCAGACCTGATTAATGTCTCTCACAGTCTGATGTCCCATAGGACATCTCTTCCTCCTGTCCCTGAGCCTTTGGCGGTTGGTGAGTTATACTATCATAGGAATGGGTAGCCACCTGGACCCCCATTCCCAAAGGATGTAGCCACCCTCAATCAAAAGAACAGTCTTGCAATTGCAGCATGCTCCACGACCTGATCAGCACACAAAAGGCCTTTGAATAAATAGTGCACCAAGACCTCATTCCCACCTCTTTATCGTCGCATGGAAGCACATTCTTCATATCTCAGAGCCATGGTGGCCCTCTTGATGGATATGATAGGCAGAAACGTACTAGAAGCCAATGTTTCCCTTCATTTCTTAAAGTAGAATGTGGGCCTCCTGCTCACAGAGCTCCAATGAGTATACTTTGCAGAATTTCTGGAGTCAAAGCCCACAAAAGATGCTTGTGATTCCTGAGCAAGCCAGCTTGAGAATACGTTGTGCCAGAGTCCTCCTAAGCATGGAGAACTCTGGCCCTCATTGTTTCCAGTTTCATGACATTGCTTTATCATCCGTCAAAGTTCGTCTTGGGGTCCATGCAAATTTAGTCTTTAGGATTACTATCTCCAGATTGTAAATGTCCCCTGGGGACCAGCCCTTGTGACTGTGGGACTGGTGGAGCTAATGTGGCCTTGGCCTTTTGGTTTCAGGTCTACATGGACATCCAGAGACCTAGAGCATCAGAAGGGGTCCAGCCAAGAGCTGTGTCGGGAGGCTGGGCCAGATGTATTAGCGGGGAGCTGTCCCCCTTGCTAGGGCCTAGTGGAAATGAAGATAAACATCTTCATTCCACACTGATCGCATTCCCACTGGATGGAAATATTGAATGCCTTTTGGTCATGGCTGTAGCCATATCCTCTCCCTTCCTGTGTTTCTGACTGCCTTTTCATTCACCCTTAGGTGCCTTGGAGCTGGTACTCATTCAACAGGCACCCTTGGATGAGCGTCGGGTTCCCACTCAGTTCCGTGCTCAGTGATAGCCATCAACATCTGATAGATATCCCAAAGGAGAATGGGCCTTCATACCCTGACCTTGGTGCTTGGCTGTTTGCAGCAAGGGGTGGGGGAGTGGAGCCAGCTCGTCTCTCTGCTCTGATTGATGTGCCTTCCTTCTGAAAAGTAGACAGTTCACACAGGAGCCCAGGGCTCTGGAAGGTGGTCCGCCCAGAAAGAGCCTCTTAAAGTAAGAGGGCCCCATTGCCCGTCTCCACACTTTGAAGCCACAGCTGGGTGAACCTCCCAGCTATACCACTGTCACTGCTCACTCCAATGTTACAGAAAGCAACAAAGCCAACAAAAACCCATGGTGCCCTAAGTCCTTCTGAAGGAAGAAGGCAGGCCTGGTGCTGACACGGCTCCCAGATGGAAACACTAGATGGCGCTGTTGCATAAGCTCTCTGGTGTTTCTTCCAAGTTGACAGGAGCTGGTGCAGGGCACCATAGAATTCCCTTTCAAAGTTCTGAAGCGCTCTGGCCTTCCTCATCCACCTTGACGCATCATTCCTGTCTTGTAGAGACAAGGTTTTTCCTGCAATAAGTTGAGAATCAGCTTCTCAAGGGTCCTATCTTCTGCCTTCCACCTGACAGTCCAGGCCACTCCCTGTGACTGTGGAAGAGCTTTTGTCACAGGGCCACTTCTTCATTAAATCACTGGGTTTCAGAAATATGCGTCCATTTCGAGACCCAGGGCATTTGAAGGGAGCCAGCAGAGGAAGTTTGGTATATATGCTGGCCGGAGTCTTGGGCAGGGACCTGGCCTCCTTCTGGGCTGAGGGCAAATGAAGCTAAAAATCTTCTTTCAAAGTGGATCCTTGTTCTCACTTGAAATGGTGAGTTTGGCCCACCTGGAGCAAACTTTTCTTCCCCTTGCTATGTTTTTGAGAATGTATTTTTTTTTCCTTTGTTAGGTGCCATGGAGCCATCACTCCCTCAGGTGGTGAATCTGGCTAGGCTGCAATCTCCCACTCTGTTCCTGTGCTCAGTGAGAGCTATCAGACTCTGCCCTAGGAAAGGAAATAAGGCCTTGAGTCCCTTTGTGCCTGGTGCTTGGCTTGATGTGCCATGGATGGTGAAGGGGAGCCAGCTTGCCTCACTGATCTGCATGACTGAGGTGGCTTCATTCTGGGAAGCAGTTTGCAAATGGACAGTATGAGTGAGGATGGGGTCAGCATTGGAGGAGCCTTTGCTGGAAAGGAGGGAACCAAGTCCTTGTTGCAGATTCCTGAGCAACAGCCCTCAGAACCCCATAGCTACAGCTCAAACGTTGCTGCCTCCCTTGACTGATGGGAAAAGTGGCGGGGATAGACCAAGTCAGAAATCACTGGCTCCTTAAGAAAGAAGGAAGGCTTCCTGGTGACAGGGCACCCAGGTGTAATCCTCCAGAGTTCTCCCTTAGCCTAAGCCCACATGCCTTTCTTATTCTGGATACTACCTGGTTGATAGGAGACTGTGCTGGATACTTCATTCTCTAGTTTCTCTGAATCATGTGTGATGAAGAATTCTGGCAGTGAGTGTCTCCATTGCTGCCCCTGAGCCCTTTTGGTGAAAGAAAGTTTGAATGGAAACTATTCTGAGACAATGTATCAGAGTAATATCTTCTTCCTTCAGCTTGGGGGTTTGGTGGCGTTTTAGTGATGGTGATAGAGGTGTTGCATTGGGCAGTTCTCAATATCTTTCCAGAATGATGTGGCCCTCTCCAAACCCAGGACATATGCAGATGCCCAGGGAGAATGCCTCGTGGGTAGGCTAATAAAGCAGAGGTTGGAGGTGGATCCTGCCTCCTGTGTGGGACAAGGGGAAGGCAAAGTCGTGGTGCATTTCCTCGGTTTCCCCTATGCTTATTTGAATGCACAGCTTTGACTCACCTTATTGTCATTCCTCTGCCATTGCAGCTTTCCTAAGTTGGTCTCAGTCCACACACAGAGACCCTGTGTCTGTCCCCTACACCAACCAAGGTGCCTGGAGTGGAGGTGAGTTTCCAAGCCTTTCCTGAGGCAATGTGGGACCCTCAGGGTCTGATATGTCAGAGGACACCAAGCCCCCCTGTCCCTGAGTCCTCACTGCTGAACAGGCCACAGTATCGAGGGAATGGGTAGTCACATGGCCCCTGTCCCTAATGGATGGAGCTACCCTCATTTGCATGAACATTCTGTGCATGTGCCGCATGCTCCATGACCTGATCAGCACATAAAAGGCCTTTTGAATATACACTGCACCAAGCCCTCACTCCCACCTCTTGATCATCACATGGAAGAAATTTCTTCATATCTCAGAATCTCTACTGCCCCTCTCGATGGATACGATGTGCAAAATCACACCTGAAGACAAATTTTTTGTCTATTTCTTAAGGAAGAATGTGAGTCTCTTCCTCACAGGGCTCCAACAAGCATCCTTTGGAGCACTCCTGTAGCCAAAGCCCACGAAAGGTCCCAGGGAATCTTGAGCAAGTCTGCTTATGAATACACTGTGCTAGGTTCTTCTAAACATGAAGAACTCTGGCTCTCGTATCCAGTTTCATGACATTGCTTTATCGTCCATTATAGTTCATCTTGTCCATACGAATTCAGTCTTTGAAAGTACTATCTCCAGACTGCAGATGCCCAAGGGGGAAGGCCCTCATAAGTGTGGGATAGGTGGAGACAAAGGAGCCCATACTTTTTGGTTTCAGAACTGCATGGCTATCCAGAACCCTAGGGCATCATAAGGGGTCTAGCTGAAAGCTGTTTTGGGGGAGGCTGGGCCAGATGTATTAGCCGGGAGCTGGCTTCCTTGCTGGGCCTAGTGGAAATGAAGATAAATATCTCCATTCCACACTGATTGCATCCCCATTGGTTGGAATTATTGAATACCCTTTGGTCCTGGCTGAAGCCATTCCCGTGTTTCTGACTGCCTCTTCATTCACCCTTAGGAGCCATGGAGCTGGCACTCAGCAGGCATCCAGTGATGGGCGTCGGTTTCCAACTGGGTCCCCTGATCAGTAACAGCCATGAGCACCAGATATTCCGAAGGTGAATCGGCCTCCTGTTCCTGATCTTTGTGCTTGGCTGTTGGAAGCAAGGGGTGGGGTGGGGTGGGGAAAGGAGAGAGCTTGCCTAGTTGTTCTACCTGATTGAGGTGTTTTCCTTCTTACAATAGACAGTTCACAGTGGAGCCGTAAGCTCCAGAAAGCTGGTCAGTACAGAACAGCCCTAGACACGAAGAGGGCACCAATGCCCCTCTACATACTTTAGAGCCATAGCTGGGAAAGCTACCAACTAGAGCACTGTCACTGCCTACTCCATTTCATGATGGGAAAAGCAAGAAAAGCAGACCAAGTCCCAGGGCTCTCTAGGCCTTTGTGAAGGAAGAAGGCAGTCCTGTAGCTGACAGGGCTCCCAGATTGAGACACTAGAGGGTGCTTTTGCCTAATCCTTCTGGTGTTTCTTCTTCTTCTGAGGGTCAGATTGCCAGGAGCTGGTGCTGGGCACTCCCTTCTCCATAGATTTTCCCATCCAAAATCTTCAGGGCTCCGACCCTCCTTATCCACCTTGACACATCTGTGTTCTCCTATAGAAACAATTTTCTTCCCACAATCCATCACAGTCAGCGTCTCAAGAGTCCAATCCTTTGCCTTCCACCTGGAAGTCTGGTTCAGTCCTTGTGATGGGAAGAGGTTTTGACACAGGGCTCCAACTTCGATAATTCACTGGGTTTCAAAATTATGGTCATTCAGATGCCCAGAGCGTTTGAAGTGGAGGTGAAGAGAATGTTTGGTGTGTAGGCTGGGCCAGAGATTTGGGCAGGGAGCTGCCTTCCTTCTGGGCCAAGGTCAAGTGAAGCAAGACATCTTCTTTCCAAGGGGATCCCCATTCCCAGTGGAATTGTAGAGCTTTGGCCTACATGGCACCCATTTCCTTCCCCTTGCTGTATTTCTGGAAATTTATTGTTTTCTCAGGAGCCATGGAGCCATCAATCACTCAAATGGCATCCCTGGGTACCTGCAAACTCTCACTCAGCTCCTGTGCTCAGTGAGAGCTATCAGGCTCTGCTGTACCAAAGGAAAGAAGGTCTTGAGCCCCTGGCTGCTTGGTGCTTGGACTTCTGTGCTATGGAGGGTGAAGGGGAGCCAGCTTGCTTCTCTGACCTGGATGATTGAGTTGCCTTCATTATGAGAAGCAGATAGTTTGTATATGGGCAGTATGAATCGACAGGGGGTCAGCAGTGGAAGAGCCCTTGCAAGAATTAGAGACCACATCTTTCTTGCAGATTCCTGAGAAAAAGCCCTCAGAAGATGATAGCTACAGCTCAAGCACCGCTGCCTCCCTCAACTGATGGGAAAAGTGGGTGGGAGCAAGCCAGAAACGCCTGGCTCCTGAAGAAAGAATGCTGACATTTGCTGACAGGGCTCCATGGTGTAGTCCCTCAGAGGGCCCCTTGGCCCAAGCCCACAGGACTTTCTTATTCTGTATACAACTTGGTTGATCAGAGACGGTGCTGGGTACTTCATTCTCAGCTTTCTCCAAGTCTCATGTGTGATAAAGAACTCTGGCAATGTGTGTCTCCATTACCAACCCTTAGCGCTTTTGAAATAAGATGGTTTTGTATGGAAACTATTCTGATACAGTGTCTCAAAGTTATATCATCTTTCACCTCGGGGGTTTCGTGGTGTATTTTTGATGCTGCTAGAGATGTTGCACTGGGCCCTTCCCAAGTTGTTTTCAGAATGATGTGGCCCACCCCAAACCCAGGGTGTGTGCAGGTGCCCAGGGTGGATGCTTGTGGGGAGGCTAAGGCCTCCTGTGTGGATAAGGGGAAGGGAAGTGCCGAGTCTCCTTCCCTGGTTTCCCCCATGTCCATTTGTGTCTGTCCTGTACACCACACAAGTTCCCCAGTGCGGAGGTGAGTTCCAAGCCTTGCCTGAGCCAAAAAAGGGCTCGCAGTGTTTGACATGCCAGAGGAAAGCTAGGCCCCTGTCCCTGAGCTCTTGGTTCTGTACAGGCTACAGTATCGTGGGAATGGGTAGCATCCAACCTTAATGAATGGAGCTATTCTCATGTGGAAGAACAGTCTGTGAATGTGCAGCACACTCCAATACCTGATCGGTGCACAAAATGCCTTTTGAATAAATAGTGCACTGAGATCTCATTCCCACCTCTTGATCATCACATGGAGCAAATTCATCATATCTCAGAGCCACTGCCACCCCTCTCAATGGATACGATGGGCAGAAGCACACCAGAAGCCAACGAACCCCTATTTCTTGAGGGAGAATGTGGGACTCTTGTTCACAGGGCTCCAACGGTCATCCTTTTGAGCACTGCTGTAGCGAGAGTCCCCAAAAGGTTCTTGTGATTCCTGAGAAAGCCTACTTGCAAATACATTGTGCTAGTCAGGTTTCCTAGACATGAAGAACTCTGGCCCTCTGTGTGTCCAGTTTCATGACACTGCTTTATTATCCATCAAGTTTCATCTTGGGGTCCATACAAAATCAATTTTTCAAAGTACATCTCTGAGTTGTAGATGACCAATGGGGAGCAGCCCTTGTGACTGTGGGATAGGTGGACCCAATGGGGCTCTGGCATTTCATTTCAGAACTACATGGACATCCAGAGTCCTAGGGCATTGGAAGGAGTCCAGATGGGAGATGAGTGTGTGAAAGAGTGGCCAGACATTTTAGCGATGAGCTGACCTCCTTGCTGGGCCTACAGGAAATGAAGTAAGCATCTCTATTCCACATTGATCAAATTCCATGGGATGGAAATATTGAATGCCCTTTGGTCCTGACTCTAGCCACTCCCCTATTTCTGACTGTCTCTTCTTTCACCCTTAGGAGCCATGGATCTGGCACTCAGTCATCTGGCACCCAAGTATGGACTTCTGTTTCCCACTGGGTCCCGTGTTCAGTAACAGACATGAGCATTGGATATCCCAAAGAGAATAGCCCTCCTATTCCTGTCCTTGGTGCTTGGCTGTTTGTAGCCAGGGGTGCAGGAGAGTGAAGCCAGATCGCCTCCTTGGTCTGCCTTATTGAGGTGTTTCCTTCTGAAAAGCAGACAGTTCACACAGGAGCAGTAGGCTCCAGAAGCTCATCAGCACCGAAAGAGCCACAAACGAAGGCACCAATGCCACACTCCACACTTTAGGGGCACTGATGGGGGAACCTCCTGGCTATGGCACTGTCACTGCCTACTCCATTCTATGATGGGAAAAACAAGAAAAGCAGAACAAGTCCCAGGGAACTCTAGGTCCTTCTGTAGAGGAAGGCAGGACAGTAGCTGACAGGGCTCTCAGACGTTGACACTAGAGGGCGCCTTTACCTAAACCCTCTGGTGTTTCTTCTTCTCTGGGCCAGATTGCCAGGAGCTGGTCCTGGGCACTCCCTTCTCCATAGAATTCCCAAAGTCTGGAGAACTCCGGCCATCCTTATCCACCTCAACACATCTTTGCTCTCTTGTAGAAACAAGGTTCTTTCCTTGATCCATTCAGAGTCAGTGTCTCAAGAGTACTATCTTCTGCCTTCCCCTTGGGAGGCTAGTCCAGTCCTGTGACTGTGGGAAAGACATTGCCACAGGGCTCCACCTTCATTAATTCACTGGGTTTCAGAAATAAGCAGCCATTCAGAGGCCCAGGGCATTTGAGACGGACCAGCAGAGGATGTTTTGTGCAGATGTTTGGCCAGAGAGTTGGGCAGGTAAGCTGGCCTCCTTCTGGGCCAAGGGCAAATGAAGCAAGACATCTTCTTTCCATGTGCATCCCCATTCAAACTGGAAATGTCGAGCTTTGGCCCAAATGGTGCCCACTTCCTTACCCTTGCTGTATTTCTGATAATTTATTTTTTTCTCTCTTAGGAGCCTTAGAACCATCACACAGCTGGCATCCCTGCATAGGTCGCAAACTCCCACTTTGCTCCAGTGCTCAGTGAGGGCGATCATGCGGCTCTCTTATACAAAAGGAAAGGAGGCCTTTAGTCCCTGTGTGCTTGGTGCTTGGCCTGCTGTGCTATGGAGGGTGAAGGGGAGACAGCTGGCCTCACTGACCTGGATGATTTGAGTTGCTTTCATTCTGAGAAGCAGACACTTTGCACACGGCCATATGAATGAGCAGGGGGGCCAGCATTGACAGAGCCCTTGCCAGGAATTAGGGAACCAAGCCCTTGTTGCAGATTCCTGAGCAAGAGCATTCAGAGCCCAATAGCTACAACTCAAGCACTGCTGCCTCCATCAACTGATGGCAAGAGTGGCAGGCATAGACCAAGCCAGAAATTCCTGACTCCTTAAGAAAGAAGGCAGGCTTCTTGCTGACAGGGCTCCCAGGTGTAATCCTTCAAAGGGCTCTCTTGGCCTAAGTGCACAGGACTTTCTTAATCTGGATATAACCTGGGTGATAGGAGGCTGCACTGGGTACTTCATTCTCAGCTTTCTACAAATCCTGTGTGATGAAGAACTCTGGTAGTTTAGGTCTCCATTGCCACACCTTAGTCATTTTGATGAGAGATGATTTTCATGGAAACTATTCTGAGACAGGGTCTCAGAGTAATATTGTCTTCTTTCAGCTTGGGGGCTTGATGGTGCATTTTTGCTGGTGATAGAAGAGTGGCTTTGGTCCCTTCTGAATTTGGCTGCAGAATGATGTGGCCCTCCCCAAACCTAGGGTTTGTGCAAGTACACAAGGAGAATGCTGTGGGTAGGCTAAGCCAGAGGTTGGGGGTGGATACCACCTCCTGTGTGGGACATGGGGAAGCGAATATGGTGGTCTTCTTCTTCAGTGTCCCCCATCCTGTTTGAATACACAGCTTTGACTCACCTTGTTGCCATTCCTCTCCCATTTCTGCTTTCCCAACATAATCTCAGTTCACACATGGAGACCCTGTGTCTGTCCCCTTTGACAACCGAGGTCCCTGGTGTGTAAGTGAGTTTCCACAGCTTTCCTGATGCAATGCAGTGCTCCCAGAGTTTTTATCCCAGAGGACAGCTAGCCCACTGCCCCTGAGCCCTTGATGCTGGGCCGGCTACAGTAGCCACATGGACCCTTCACCCCAATGGATCGAGCTACTCTCATTTGGCGAAACAGTCTTTGCATGTCAGCATGCTCCACGACCTGATCAGTGCACACAAAGCATTTGAATATACACTGCACCAAGGCCTCATTCCTGCCTCTTGATTGTCACATGGAAGCACCTTCTTCATAACTCAGAAACTCTATTGCCCCTTTTGATGGATACGATGGGCAGAAGCACACGAGAAGCCAAAGACCTCCTCTGTTTCTTAAGGGAGAAGGTGGACCTTTGGTTCACAGGGGTCCAGGGAGCATCCTTTGGAACACTCCTGTAGCGAATGCCCACAAAATGTTCTTGTGAGTCCTGAGCAACCCAGCTTCTGAATAACTGTGTCAGTCAGGTTCTTCTAAACATGAAGAACTCTGGCCTTCATGGTTTCCAGTTTCATGACATTGCTTTATCATCCATCAGGGTTCATCTTGGGGCCCATACAAATTCAGTCTTTCAGAGTACTCTCTTCGGCTTGCAGATGTCCATATGATCGTGGGACAGGTGGAGCCAAAGGAGCCCAGGCCTTTTGGTTTTAGGACTACATGAACATCCAGAGCCCTTGGCATCAGAAAGGGACCGGCCGAATCTGTTTGTGGGGAGGATGGGTCAGACGTATTAGCAGGAGCTGGCCTCACTGCTGGGCCTGGGGGAAATGAAGATAAGCATCTCCATTCAACACTGATTGCACTTCCATTGGATGGAATTATTGAACGCCCTTTGGTCCTGGCTGAAGTCATCCCTGTGTTTCTGACTGCCTCTTCTTTAAACCTTAGGAGACATGTAGCTGACAGCAGGCACCCAGGGGTAGACAGTGGCTTCCCACTGGGTCCTTTGGTCGGTAACAACTATGAGCTTAGGATATCCCAAAGCAGAATAGCCCACCTACTCCTGAGCTTGGTGTTTAGCTGTTTGTTGCAAAGGCTGGGGGTAGTGGAGCCAGATCGCCTCCGTGGTCTGCCTGATTGAGGTGTTTTCCTTCTGAAAATCAGACCGTTCACATAGGAGCTATAGGATCCAGAAGCTGGGAAGCACATAAAGCGCCCTCACAGGAAGAGGGCACCAATGGCCCTCTTCACACTTTGGGGCCACAGATGGGGGAAACTCCTGGCTACAGCACTTTTACTGCATATTCCATTCAATGATGGGAAAAGCAAGAAAAACAGACCAAGTCCCAGGGCTCTCTAGGTCCTTCTGAAGGAAGAAGGCAGGCCTGTAGCTGACAGAGTTCCCCGATGGAGACACTAGAGGGCGCCTTTGCCTAAGCCCTCTGGTGTTTCTTCTTCTCTGGGCCAGATTGCCAGGAGCTGGTGGTGGGCACTCCCTTCTCCATAGGATTCCCCATGTAAGGTCTGCAGTTCATGGCCCTCCTTATCCATCTTGACACATCTTTGCTCTCTTGTAGAAAGAAGGTTCTTCTCAGGATCAATTCAGAGTCAGGGTCTCAAGAGTCTTATCCTCTGCCTTCCACCTGGGATTATGGTCCAGTCCTTGTGACTGGGGGAGAGGTTTTGCCACTGGGCCCATCTTCATTAATTCACTGGGTTTCAAAAGTATGTGGTCATTCAGAGGCCCAGGGCATTTGAAGTGGACCTGCAGAGAATGTTTGGTGTGTAGGCTGGACCAGAGATTTGGGCAGGGAGCTGGCTTCCTTCTGGGCCAAGGGCAAATGAAGCAAAACATCTTCTGAAATGTCAATATTTGGCCTATCTGGCACCCAGTTCCTTCTCCTTGCTGTACTTATGACAATTTATTGTTTTTTCTCTTGTTCTGCCCATGGAGCCTAAATTACCCACTCAGCTGGAACCCCTAAGTTGGCTGAAAACTCTCACTCTGCTCCTGTGCTCAGTGAGAGCTATCAGGCTCTGTTCTATCAAAGAAAAGAATGTCTTTCGTCCCTAGATGCTTGACACTTGGCCTCCTGTGCTATGATGGGTTAAGGGGTGCCACGTTGCCCCACTGATCTGATGATTGACTTGCCTTCATTCTGAGAAGCAATTTGCACATGGGCAGTATGAATGAGGAGGGAGTCTGCATTGGAAGAGCCCTTGCCAGGAATTATGTAACCAAGTCCTTGTTGCAGATTCCTGAGCAAGAGCCCTCTGAACCCAGTAGATACAGCTCAAGCACTGCTACCTCCCTCAAGTGATGGAAAATGTGGCAGAAATAGAACACTCCAGAAATTACTGGCTCCCAAAGAAAGAGTGCAGTCTTCTTGTTGACAGGGCTCTCAGGTGTAGTTCCTGGAGCTCCCGTGGCTAAACCCACAGGGGTTTCTTATTCCGAATTCAACCCAGTTGATAGGCCACTGCGCTGGGTATTCGTTCTCAACAGTCTCTAAATCTCACGTGTGATGAACAACTCTGGCAGTGTGTGTCTCCACTGCCACCCCTTAGCCCTTTTGTTGAAAGAGGTTTTGTGTGGAGACTATTCCAAACAGAGTTTTGGAGTAATGTCCTCTTTTTTCAGTTTGCAGGTTTCGTGGTTGCCCTGTGATGGTAACAGAGA